TTGCTTCGATGTAGCCCGAGTGAATGCTTTGGTCAATCGTCACATCCTTTCCGCTCATTAATCCAAGTCTTGAAGCTTCTTTTGGATCAGAGGGGAATCCGACAACTGATGAGTCATCGATGGATCGAAAAACTTGAACGTTCCATGAATTTTCAGTGTCAGCGGTCTCTGAAGGTATCGGGAAAATGTCTTGTTCGTTTCGGATAGGAAACAATGCATTGGATATCTCATCTGGAGCCTGCTTCATCCACCGCTGCTCAAAGTTTGTGAGCACATCCCAAGCCGCGAGACCTTCGACCTTCGAATGATCATCGTGCCACGGCTCCCTTGGCCCACCACGGCGCAGGCTAGCGTCTGGAAAATTGCCCTGAAGAAAATCGTTCTTGTATGTCGTATCGAGATTCTGAAACAACGTGTGGATTTCGTTATCATATCGGCCATCACAAAGATCGACTCCACCGACGAAACTGACGACTTTACGAGCTGAGCTCAAACTGTTTTTTCTGCTGGGGCCGTCGACCAAGACAATCTTCTGATGGTGGGTGAACTCCGTGTAGACCTCGGCGGACTGGACGGCAGTGAGGGAGCGATCGGCATTGCGGGGGCAGAGGAAGCATTTAACGTTGGTGCCTTTGAAGAACTCATGGGTTTCTTCGTCGTGGGTTTTCATGATTCCAGCGTTGCCTAAGAAGGAGATGGACGTTCGGTCTTGCCACACCATTACTAGGACGGTCACGCCCTCGTCGGCTTTTCTCTTTAATAGTTCGCCGATTGTTACGTTCTCCGCGCCTGAGATGAGGATTTTGTGAGAGAGCCAATAATTCTTAGAGTAAACCGTAACTATAATATGTATATGGATTGGAAAATGTCAGGCTTAATTAGCATCAACTGCGCTCCTCTTAAACATTTTCCAATCAACAGCGTAGTAGACTGAAATCTAAAATCTGAGTTAGATTTAATAAAGTAATTAGTACTAGATATTGTACCTGGAATCATCCTCTCGGGATCTCGAACCAGAGTAATCTGAACATTAACAGACCACCCCGCAACATATACAAAATGCTTGGCATCAACAATCGCCCTATAAAGATCCTCCCACAACCTGTGAGGTTCATAAATCTCCCCGTTCGCCAGATGAATATGCGGTCGAAAACCATTCGAAAGATGCGAGTTCTGATACAAAACGACATCACATCCACTCCTCTGAGGGAAATATGCATTAGTAACCCCCTGAAACTCCGGCAACCTCACCCCCGAGTTCCAGAACTGCTCGGAAGTCACCTCCGTGAACTTGAGCAAAGCATGCACTCTGGCTTTCTTAATTTGCTTTCCTTCTTCATTGTAGAGATCGAACCAGCCTTCGAGGGGTTCGGAGGTGAGGATTCGGGATGCAGGGATGTGAGCTCTGCCGAGGACTTGGGCGCTGACTGGGAGCTGTTTCTTGACGGAGATTGTTATCGTGGAGGCTGTGTGCGCGCAGTAGACTTTGAAGGACTCGTTCCATGTTGGGTCCTTTGGATGGAAGCCGACTTGTCGGGTTCGGGCCACTCGGGCTGTGCCGATGTCGATCGTAGCGTAGAGTTTGTTGTGGGATTCGAGGTGCAGGGTTTCTTCTACTTTTTCTGCAGCCTGAGTACATTGGAAATTTTGAAGAAGAAATATTAGGAGATGAAACAGATAGGTATAGATTGGTGAATGAAGAGTGAAAGTGATGCATAATTAGAATTTATTACTTGTCCGTGTTTACAAGTTGCAACAAGTCTCTATGAAGTTATACCTTGCAAAGGATGGGTGTTGATACACAACATATACACAGGGTTGATTCCTTCAGATAATACTGATGTCCTACAAGCTAATTGAGTTTTGATAATTTGACTGTGAAGCCCACAATGTTTAGTCCGACGTTGGAGAACAAAGAGAAATTTTATGGTTTAAATAATAAGTTTAAGGAGTCAAGTGTAGCTTCAGCTAGTAGATTTTAGCAATCGTTTGAGCCAAACAACACGTTATTCTCAGTTGGTCTCACATCTTACATCGCGCTTACGGTCTAACTAGGGGTGGATGTGGGTTGGATCCGCTCAGACCCCTCGGCCCACCAGGTTTAAGCCTGGGTTGGGGGTCTGCGCGGGTCAGAGTGGGGTAGGCCTGCTCCTCTAATCCTAGTTCTGAGATTAGACTCAGCCCAGCCCACGACCCTCCGAAGGGCGGGCCAGACCGGGCTCGGCCCATGGGTCGTGGGTCGACCAATGAGTTTTTGACTTTTTCTATTTTTTTTATCATTTCCTAACTATATTAACTTTGTATGAGATCTGTAAAATTATATTTAATTTATTCTTTCTTATTTCAAACTTTTTATTTAAAATGATATATATATATGTATATACATATGTTGTACAAAGGTAAACATCACACAGAAAAACATCTACATAGTTCAGACTTCCGAACGAATACATGGTTGCTTGAGGCCCATTTATTTTATTTTTTTCTAAGAAAGTAAATATTTATAATTAAACTCAGAGCGGGCGGGGCTAGGCCGAGCTTGCTTTTTTGGTCCCGGGTTTGGATCAAAGCCTAGCCCGGCCTAAACCACTATCAATGTGGGGCTAGGTTGGGCCCGGTCCGATGTGGATCAAGCCGGGTATAGACCCAAACCGGGCTTGGTTTGAAGCAGCCCATGCCCAACCCTAGGTCTAGTGGCCCGGGGCGTGACGCCGAGGGTAAAAGATTAGTAGTTCAACTGCCGCCATCAATCAATATTCAACAAATAGTTGCGCATACAGTGAGAACCAGACAAAGTGAGGGACATATTTTTATTCTGTTTTTCACATGACTAGCACGTGAGCTGTAAACGTAGACCAAGACACGCCACAAGATCTTGATGGCTGCGAGTTCAAGAGCAGTGTTATGGCATCATGTTCAATCATTATAGTCTGTTATTTGATATAAGTTTATGATTCTTTTAAAGGTAAAATGGAAATTTATGCAAATCCAAAGTTGTGACAGCTCTTTAACAAATTGAACTAAAAACACTCATCTATGCAAATCCAAAGTTGTGACATCCAAATTTATTGCAAAAATATGTCTAAAATTGAACTAAAAACACTCATCTATATATACTATTATAATATAGAAGCATAGAAGACAGACAGCTCTTTATAACAACTCACCTCAAGAAGAAATCCATGAATGGAGTGATGAAGATGCTCGGCTCTGAACACGGTGACATCTAAGCACCCATGGATGAGCTGAGGAGCTACCACATTTCCCCCCATGCTTCTCTTCTTCCTCTTTGATTCTTGTTTTCTTTCTTGAGTTCTGAGCAGCTTGCTTTATAGCATCTTATCTAAAGTAGATATCAGCCCCTTCCAATCAAAAGCCACCTTCTAGAGTTCAAGGTATTTTACTGGAAATGCAACCACTGAACATGGACATTAATGAGAGTCAAAGCAGTAATAATAATACTATGCAAGAGAAGGAAAAAGGACCGCCCCTGTCTTTGTCTAACCGCGTATATGAAAGTGCCGAGATTGTGTCTAGATTCTTCTTTGAACAAATTCATGAGAATTAGATAGGGTTAGAGATCTACCATGATTAGGAGATTGGGTGTCATCATGATTAGGAGTTTGAATCTTATATTCTAATTAGGAAGGTAGACTAGAGATAGGGTTTTGGTTTCCCTACATATATTCTTCTATTGTTGGAGGAAAAACCAAGCAGATGAGAGAGAGCCAATATTCTTGTAATCTAGAGTTAGCAGAGGGCGTAGCCTTGGGAGAGGGTTTCGCAGTCTTTGTTCGTTCAAAAGATTGTAAGGAGTGGGTTTTGGAGAGAATATGAGAGTTGATTATGTATGTGAGGTTGAGAGACGTGAGTTGAGTGGTTCCTCTTGTAGTTCTCCCTGATACATAGTGGATTTCTCGTATTGTTGCCCGTGGACGTAGATCGAAGTTGGACGATTGAACCACATATATCTCGGTGTTCTTTCTTCTTGATTGTGGTTGTTTTATATCTTGTTGATTGTGGGTTGGCTTCCGAGTTGCAGAGATCGTAGTAGGGGAGGCCTAAAATTCCCAACAAAAAGAAATTCTGTAAACTCTGTAAAAACGTGGGATTGTTTCCCATTAAATAGTGTTGCCTGATGCTTTGCTTCAAGATGGAGCCATCTATTTCACCTTTTCTATAAAACGCACGTGAAGAATGAAGGAAGAGAGGGGGAAGGTGGAGGCAATGACCCGCCAAGTGCTTTGAATCATTGCAAGGGACTTTGATGGATTTTTATTTGCAATGGGCTCTCCATAAGTCACCACTTTCAACGAATACACTATGTCCAGTCATCCATCAGCGTTGGAATCTTTCCAATGGAGCTTTGTCAGTAGACAAATCATTTTTCCAATTATAGTCATCTGATAACATGCGAGTAGTTGTAATTCATTTCCAATTATTGTTATGTTAATTGCACATGAACCCTTGTAGGTACATTGTTGCCGATGGACCCTTTTTTTTTTTAATCCCGGGTAAATTTTTGGCACATATTGCTTCTAGGTAAAACTAGTGAATGTATCTGGGGGCAAAAGAGCCAAAAATAACAATTTAACTGTAGAGGGTTTATCAGCAACGGTGAAACTACAAGGGTAATAAGTTCAAAACAATTATGCTACAAGGGGTCGATCTGCAATTAATCCATTTGAAAAATACAAGTTCATGTTCCTCAGATGTTACTTTGTTTTGGTTGAAAACTAGACTACTTTTATATCTATGTATCAAGTTATACCCCCAACAAACAAATTCAGTATTCTACTCCTTTATTCCTATCATAACTTGGTACCCAAGCTATAAAGCTATAAAGTTCCTCTCGCTATCGGCATAGTCATCAGTAGCACCTACTCATGGTTCACACTTCTCACTTCCTGAGGCCATTAACGTTGGCGCTGCCAAAGGTGTCAAATCCCAACAGGATGAAGCTAAGGAGATCAATATTGCAATGTAGCGAGATAACCATGACATAATGAGAATCAAGCTTAATTTATGATAATCATACTTTCACAACAAAAATAAAGTAGATGACAATTTCCATGTAATGATTGACGACTATATAAGTACTGGAATACATCATACTCAACATGTGTATTCTGAAATTGAAATTATATGCACAAAAAAGTATTTCAAGCATGTGAAGGGGGAAAAAGACAGTTGAATACCAAAGAAAACAGCGATCAGCAGAACAGATAATTTAACTTTGATGAATCGTGCGGACAATAACTCCCAATCTTATAAAAGATGGACATTGAATTCGAGATTTTTCTTCTTACAAGTGTACTGGTGAAAAAACAATACTACAGTATACTTGAAAAATCACAGCCCTGTATCTCTTCAAGGTTTTCAACCCCAGTAGTTACTCTCACAAAAATTTGTCAACTGAAAAGCTGAAGCAAAACTTAAGCTAATCATCTGAACCATCATCAACACCATCATCTGAATCTCTGCTATCTTCTTTTACTTCAGGGGGCGCTATGTCCTCTGAAGGAGGTATTGGATCCTCGTCAGACCTTGAAGCTATTGGATCCTTATCGGACTTTGAAGGCCCAGGCCCAGCAGATACTTTTACCATTGACGGCCTGAGCAGCCTCTCCCCAAGCTTGAACCCCTTGCGGAATTCCTGAAGTACAATTCCCTCCTCATACTCTGATGACTCTTCTCGCATTATTGCTTCATGAAGCTTTCATGATGAATGAACAGTGGTTGTAAGAGAACAGAATGTCGAGAACACCCAATTTCACAGAAGAAAAATCAATAGTAGTTATTATAAATTAACCTAATAGCATTATTCTCGTGTGACAGCAAATGGAAAATACTAAAATCATCCTTGATGAAGCTTTATGTTCTACAGTTTAGTAATATGATAAAGCTTGCAGTGTCACTTTGCTGGGGAGGAACCATGTAGGTCGAAACAAAGGTCTGCAACAAACCTGGACTAGTTTTATACAGGACGCTAAAGGTACGTAAGTCGTAGTTTAACTAAGTGGTTGTTTGGGTTATAGCCAAAGAAAATGTCATGAATTAGGATTTTCTTTTTCATTTTTTTTTCCTTTGAAATGTGATGTTAATTTGAGCGCAGATTAATAAAATCTGAAATTGAAATGTTAATGTTAATTTGGACGCAGATTCATAAAAACTGAAACTGTGAATAGTGAGGAAAAACCTTTGGACTTGGAATTAAGCTGTGCATTTTTTAATCTTTTGGAAGTTAGAATATGATCTTAACTCTATCTAAATAGCCCACAGAATTTAAACATACAACTAACACGGAAGATGAAATGTAAAAACGGTAAAAGCTCTTTGCATCCACAACTCCAATTTTGAGGTGTGACCATATGTGGCCGCATGATTGAAGAATTCTTATGAACATTGGACCAATTTATCCTGTCTCAATTCAGACCACAACTAGGTCAAGCTAGACGCACTTTACAAGCCCAGTTACACATACCAAATCATTTTTCGCTAATTTACAAATAGATTAATTTTTTTTGATAAAATAGCAAGTAGATGGGTCATAGACGATAATAATAGTTACCAGTTGAAATTGTACCGATCATTGCTGTTCAGCAATTCAAACGATGTCTTCATATTTATCGGTTAGCTTCCTCATTCAAAGTAGTTTCTGGACTTCAAAATCCCTCTTTATATAATCATGCTATTGTATTCATTATTAAACCCTTACTTTTCCTAATTTGAATGACTATCAAGCATTCTAGGAAAAAAGAAATCTGCAAACAGATTTCAGCAGAAGGGACTTACAAGAGGATCGAATGCAGTTCCAACAGTTTCGACAGCTTCAACCCCAAGTGAGGTGAGAATCTCCTGAAACTGCTTATAAATGCTCTGATAGCTGTTATTTATCTTCTCTTCTCCCTCGGTCTCCACTTTGATCTGATCTTTAGCTCTCTCAAAATTATCAAGAACAGGCAACAAGCTTTCTACAACTTCTCCCTGAACCTTTGTCATCAAAGAGAGGCGTTCTCTCTCTGTCCTCTTCCGGAAGTTATCAAAATCTGCACTGATTCTAAGGACACGATCTCTTTCAGTCAATAGCTCAGCAGAGAGAGCAGCCACTTTGTTTGCAAGAGAGTTTTTCTCATTTTCAATGGACTGAAGGAAGGCCTCAATCTCAGCAACTGCAGATTGGTCATCATTTGCTAAAGCTTCTTTATAAGATTGGAGTGATGCCATTACAATTGATGCTGTCAATTCTTCTGTGGTGGCAATTTCTTCTCCATTTACAACATTCTCACCAACAGTTTCATCACTTGAATCTTCCTGTAGACAATTACACAGTTGAGAGGAAAATTACATTAGGATGTCAAATATAAAGATGCAAACCCATATCATTAACAACAATGCTGATCACGAGAAACAAAGGCAATTTTAGCATAACTGAAGTACATCTGTTTTTCTCAAGGGAAAAAATAAGCTCATCTGTTGACAACTTTCTAACGCCTGGACCTCTTACGTATAACAGTCTATAAACTATATGAGATCTTCGAATCTACTTAGAGGGTGTGTCGCTAGGTACCTGAAATGTCCTTGCATATAAACAGAAGCTAGCTGGTTTTCTTCTTTATATGCAGACTAATCAATTCTTCATCTCATCCAATAAATTAAAAAAAGAGCATATTAGAAGAGTTGATAGTAAATATATTTCCAGTCATGGCATCTGGAGGGTCAAAATGGCAAATATACTCATCTCAGACGTTGGAAGACGCATTATTATTAGTATTAGCATGCAGTCTAGCACTCAAATCAAGTTAAAATGGATGGTAACAGCAGCCAGGAAAAAGACATAAAGAACTTTGGACATGATACTGCTAGTGCTATATATACGTAAGTTATTTGCATTGACGAAGAATAATTGAGAAGTACTAACTTTCTCAATCTTCCCAAGTACCGCCAGAGGGGCATACCTAAAGCATCTAACTAAATGGATACTGCAGTTTCTTGCAAATTTATGCCTATGAGGCTATGACTATAGTTTACAAAATATACATGCATCTAAAGTGATGCCACAGAAATAAGAGTGACAGATGGAGCGGATTAGCCAAATTTGTCTCCCTGAAATTTGAACAAACTGTTCCAGGAAATAAATGGTCTAAAGGTCAGGTACGCATACCACATACCTGACATTACTTCCCATTATTTTCCATGCTTAAGATGATTGCAGTGGGTAGCTGACAACCAGCATAAAACCTAGTCAGATATCTATAATATGAATCCTAAATAACATTCATTAGAGCATCTCCACCAAAGACGTCAAACTGATGGCAGCCGGTGCAATAATAAGCATATGAACGCAGTTTGGTGGCACACTACCTTGAAGAGACATGTTAATTGATGTTATCTCGCTGTAGTGACAAAGCGAGCAAGGGTATATTAAGAATTTTTTGGAGCAATTTGGTCCTTAATTATGGTGCCAAATAGTAAATAGTAACAGACATAGAGTGGATTACAAGATTAAGATAAAGAAAATTCGAAAAAAAAACCCAATTCATTGGAAAAAGGTTTTTTGCAATAGAAACCACCTTTTAAATAAGGTCCTTCTAGGGGTGTCCAAATGGGCCACCAACCTGGACCCAGTCCGGACCCGGCCCGGCGCCAAACAAGGTTTTTAATCTCTTTTATTCGGGGACTTATCAGACGGTCACAATCCATATCGGATAGCAGATATCAGGGATAAGTATTTATCAGAGCGATATTACCAGATAGTGTATGAACATATTATAATATCCTAAAATGTAATCTAACCATACTTAATAAAATATAAACATACCAAAATGTAAATAATCATGTTTAGGATCACTAACCAATGGCAGAAAATTGCTTCTTGATCGCACGATAAAACCATTCGAGTGCGCATAGTTAGTAAAAATGGAATAACATACAAGCAAATAACAAAACAACATAAAGAATGAATAATCATCAGCATAATTATTGTGTAATCACGAGATTATAAACTAACTTACTAAGTTGACATTTAATACTTATGAACCATGTCAATATTCATAAACAAACATAAACTAATCACCAAATAACCAAGTTCCGAAAGCAACAAATAGTTTATAATTCTTAAACATCCAAAGAGCAAACTCAAACCCAAACCAGTGGCCGATAATTCCGATATTTTGAGCCAACAATATCGGTCGATAACTCACTTTATCGCCGCATTATCGCCGAAAAACATTTAAAAATGATAACCGATTTAAAATCAAACTTATCATAGCGAAAGGCCCCAAAACTGATAAATCACCGATAATATTAGTTTATCGGCAGATATTTAAAACACTGGCGCCAGGTTTGGACCCGGTCCAATGGGCAAAAAAATGGTCGTTGGGACCAGCGTGGCCTAGGACGCCGACCCCGGTCCTAACAGCCTACAAATCTCCAGAGACCCACGTCTAGGGCTCAGGACCGAGTGGATTCCAGACCCGGCCCGGTTCAGGCTGATAAAATGGCCAATAACGGCTAATTTTGATCAAATGACCAAAATACCCCAAAACAATAAAAAGACCAAAATTTGAGGGTATTTTGGTCATTTGGCTAGGGGCTACCTCTTAAATAGAGGATTTTATTTGTTTTTCTCATCCAAAACTCATCTACTTCTCTCTAATATTCTTATACTCTCTAATACTCTCTTATTCTCTCTTATACTCTCTAATACCCTCTAATTCTCTAATTCTAATGGTTTCCTCCTCCGATTATGAAGGGCAAATTTCAACTTCCGACACCAAAACGAGTCTCACTACTCCTACAGCTACTACTACTACTATCAATGTTGATCCTGAATATGGTGGCGATAATCCAACATCCAGAACTCCTAAAAGGTCAAGATCCAATGCGTGAAATTTTTTTGAGAAAATAGAAGTCACTAGGGATTAACATGGCAAACTTCTCAGCCAGAAGGCCAAACGTGTGTTGTGCAATCATAACTTAAAACTCATCATAAGAGCGACACCAACCACCTCAAACGTTATTTGGAAAAACACAACAGAGCACAAGCAGCAACGTCTCAAGCTGACATTCGCCAATCTCTACTCTCTCAATCATCTACCTCCGATAGTCTTGGTTCCTAGAACTACAACACAATTAAAGCCAGGAATATGTCATCAAGTTTATTATTCTTAAAACCTTACTTTTAAATTAGTAGAAAATGATAAATTTGATGATATGATTTGAGATGATTTTATCCCGCATTTTAAAAAATTTCTCATCAATCTTGTCAATGTGATATTTTAAATTATTATCGAAGAACGAACAAAAATAATTTTTTATTATCAAAATTTAAACTGTAAATTTTTTCTAACTTTTGATATTTGGACATCTAGAGAAACTGGTTATTTATATATCACAACACACTAGATTGATGACACTTGACAAATATTTAAAAAGTTGTTTCTTTTATTGCATTTGGAGATTCACACACTGGTGTAAATATTACAAATTTTATAATGGAAAAACTTTTAGAATATGATTTATAAAAAATTATTTTCTCCTTCACCAAATAATGCAAGTAATAATAATGTAGTTGTAGATCATATCAAATCATCTTTGCCATTGTCATGTCAGGGTGATATTTTTCATATTAGATGCATGTCATATTTTAAATTTAATTGTTCAAAGTGTATTTAATAAAATTAAACTTATGATAGAAAAAGTTCGAGTTGTAGCTTATGCTTATAATGCTTCTGAACGACTTAAAAGATGGAAACAATTGTGTAGAAGAAAAATGTAAAACCTAAGTTAATTCCAAAAGATGTTGACCACTGGTAGAATTCCACCAATGCAATATTAAATATAGCAATAGAGTATAAAAATTATAAATAATATTATTATTTTCTATACTTCTAGTTCTAGCTCTAGTAATATGTATGGAATAACTGATGATGAATGGACAATTATACGTTATGTAAAAGAAATGTTATGATTTTTTATGAAACTACTATGTTATTATCTGGTTGTTATTATCCAATTATTACTCAACCTGCTTTACAAGATTTAAATATTCAAACTTTTTTTAATACTTATTACATGGATAATTATTTTGGAAATATGATTTTTGAAATATAATAAATTTAATAAGTATTTTAGACATATTCCTATTATTTTTTGTTCCGCGATTCTTATTGATCTATACTTGAAGGATTTGTTAAATTCTTTGTATGAGAACATGACAATAAACACTGATAGTGGTCTGACTATTGCTGCTATTACTCATCATAACACTATTAAAAATTATTTTCAAAGATTATTTGATGAGTATGCATATAGATATGGTGTAAAAGCATCTCCAACCCAAAAATCTAAAATGGTGTAGTTTTTACACCAAGTTGGTGTAGTTTTTACACCAAATCACTATTCCATCTCCAACTCATTTACACCAAAAAGAATATTCTTTTTATTATTCTTATCTTTTAACATTTTTATCTATTTAAAATATTTAATAAATTATATAATTATGAAGTTTTAAGTGTAAGTTTTTCTTATCTAAATGTAAGTTTTTCTTATTTCTTCATTTGGTTCTAGTATTATGAAATTTTAAGTGTTTGGATTAAATTATCTATTTTTTCCTTTTTGAATTTTATTTTAATAATTATTTTATACTCTAATTTCATTATAATAGTTAATATAAAATAATATATATTATTAATATAAATATAAAAAACAAAAGCAAAAAAATAAAAAACAAAATAGAATAAAATGGGAAATATGATGGATAAAATGGGATATGATTGGAATATTTGATTTGTTATAACAAACTTTGAGGGCAAATTTTGGGGGGGAACTTCATATCTACAGTGTTGCGTCATTCCTGGCGCAGCAACACTGTAGTAGCGCTTTAAAATAGCGCTAACTTTGCCGCTCAATTAGAGGAAGTGTTGGCGATAGATTTGCGTCAATTTGGGTTTTTGGCGTTGGGTTGGAGATGCTCTAAGTACACCTTAACCTAGAGCTTCCAAGACGAGACAAAGGTAAACTTTTTGATATGCAATCGATGATAGAGAGGCTAACTGGTAGTAGCCATGGATCTGGAACTAGATCATCATCAAGGAAAATTTCTAAAATTAAACAATATTTAGCTACACCTTTAGTTAAACCTCAAAATGATGTCGATTTCGATATTTTGTATTGGTGGAGAGTATATGAAACCGTTTTATATCTTATACTTTCCATCACGGCTCGTGACTTACTAACAGTGTAGGTTTCTACAGTAGCTTCGGAATCCGTCCTTCAGCACATCATAACGTTTGATTAACGACCGCAAAATA